GCAGTGACATTGAACCAGATCAGCAGCAACATGAAACAGATCAGCAGCAACATGAAACAGATCAGCAGCAACATGATGTGATTTTTTCACAGTGATTATTCTGGTTAGAGATTCATGAGTCTAACAGCCTCAGGGTAGAAGCTGTTCCTCAGTCTAGTGGTTCTACACTTAATGCTCCTCAACCTCCTTCCTGAGGGGAGTGGGGCAAAAAGTGTGTGTGCTGGGGTCCTTCATGATGCAGGTGGCCCTCTTCCTGCATCTAGAGGTGTAAATGTCTTCACCACTCTATGCAAGATGGCAGGCTGAATGGAAAAACACTGGGAAGGTTTACTGAGGCTAAATGGAATATGGCAAAAGAAACACTGGGAGAACAGGATCTAAACAGAAACAGGAAAACACAACTGAACCCCCCCCCCCCCTAAAAAAAAAAAACAACAACAAAAAACTAACCTTGAAAAGATCAATGACTAAAGAAGTAAAATCACAAAAAGCACAGAATGTCCTTTTCTGATCATTCCATTCATCATGAGCTTCATAGAAGAAAATCCAGGAGAGCGCTACTATTGGTAAAAAAATAAATAAATAAATAAAATAAAAATAAAACAAACAAACAAACAAAAAACCCGAAGTGTCTGAAACAGATGAGACAAAACTGGACCTTTTCGGCCAGTCACTGTTGTATGTTCCTTTTTCTTATTATGGAAGGGTATCCACCTACAAATGTAACCATATTTATAGTTAAAAAAAAAAAAAAGATTTAACTGCTTCACAAGTAAAAGAAAAAAAACAACAACAACAAAACAAATACATATTGAATAGGATGAGGTTAGAACTTGTTTGAATCTTTCTGATTTTCTTCCTTCCCTGTCGCAGCCTCCACCGATGTCCTCTTCTCCTTTGATACGGGTAATGGCCCTCTTCAGGTTCGTGTGAAGGCTGGCTTCCCGCTGAACGACGACAGGTGGCATCGCATTCGAGCCGAGCGAAACGTGAAAGAGGCATCACTACGCATCGATGAACTCCCTGCTGCCATGCAGGAGGCTCCGGCTGATGGGCCCATTCACCTGCAACTGAACAGCCAGTTATTTATAGGTCAATACAGCCATGTGTTATTGTAACAAAACTACAACACAATTTAAAACTACAAAGCACTTGGACATTGACTGAACCTCTGTTTTGGCTTTTGTCGAAAGTTATTTCCCACATCAATTCATTCTACCATATTATTTGTGTTTCATTTATTTTCTTGTGTCCATGTTTTATCTTTTTTCTTCACAATGCGCACAAAATTCCTCTAAAACCATTTGATGTGTTTACATCGGCTTCAAGGAGGTTGATGGTTTTGTCTTCTCCTGAGAGAAGCTTTGATTTACATCCTGAGAACATATTTTACGCTGATCTACAAGAAAACAGACAAGATAAAAAAAATCTAAAGGTCCTTGTTCCTAAATCATACTGTGATTTAGGATTTTAGACAAACCTCTCAGAGTCATTTAATTTTTTTAAGATGCAAAGTTAAATCTCCTGTTTGTGGGGATGATTCTGTGTAGTACCCATAGAAGATCATTTAAACTACATCATTTAGTCAAGGTGTTACTGTTTTCACAATTCCCGACAAACATCTGAGCCCCGACAGGTAGGGGAAAAAAAAAAAACTGAGAAAAACAATGTTTACCTCATCATAACTATGAGGAGGTGACAGTTTGTCAGTCTCTGACAATTATAATGTTACAGAGCTTAAACTCTGAGGATGACTGGAAGCTGTAATGGGAAAAGTTGCAAACCAATCAGTGTTTTGTGCATTTGAATTGTATACAGGCAATCAAGCTGTCAAACTGGGAGTGATAGCTCACCAGTCTTCAGGACATTAACAGTCAGCAAGGTGCTCGATGAGCAGAGACAGAATTTGGAATATGTTTTTTTACCCATTCAGAAAAAAGTTTTCATCCAACTTTAGTTTTTTAATGTATATTATTGTTACATTTAAGTTGCTATGACACACACTTGGAAGTACATTGATGGATTTTACTGTTTTGTTGAGAAGAGTTAAAATGTGAAAACTTATTCCCACTCATAATTTAGTTTTATTCTATTTTAGTATTTTACATGTTACATCCATATTTATGGTCCTTTAAAATTTTTTTTAAAAAAGAACACGTATAGTTCTACTTGACGTTTACTTTGTTGTCTCTATAGGAGGCACTGCTTCGAGGCAGAAGGGTTTTCGAGGTTGTATACGCGCCCTGCAGCGGAACGGTGTCCCTCTGGATCTGGAGGAGAGAGCGAGGATCACCCCCGGGGTCCAGACCGGGTGTCCTGGTCACTGCAGCAGCTACGGCTCCCTCTGCCAGAACTCTGGCCAGTGTGTGGAGGAAATCAAAAGCTTTTCCTGTGATTGTAGCCCATCTGCTTACACTGGAGCTTTCTGCGACGAAGGTAGGTTTTAACAGCAGAGTTCAACATATTAGGTAAATAGATAGATGGATAGACAGATACTTTATTGATCCCAAAGGAAATTATGTGGCAGTCTGTAGCTCCCATTTATACAAACAATAAGATAAAGACCAACCAGATAAAACAAACAGAGTATTAAAAAAAACATATATTATCTTATAATAAAAAATATTATCTTTGTGGGTGATAATAGTTGTCTTTGTTGGACCATTTAAGTTAGGTTTTCAATTTCCATATGCAGGTAAAGGTGTCCCTTATCATTTTCCTGCAAACAATATATATTGATATTTTTAATTCAAACAACTAAAATAAGATAAAAGAGGGGGAGTGGTATAGCACAGAGGTCAGAAAAGGTGAGCCTGTGATAGCAAGGTCGCTGGTTCGACTCTCTGAACTGGCAACATCAAAATGTGGGTGGAAAAGGTGAAGCACCCACACCTGCCTCCACACTCATTTGCTCCACTCGGGGCCCCGAGCAAGGCCCTTAACCCCCACCATCTGCTCCCCCAGGCACCCCTAGATAGCAGCTCTCTGCTCCACACAGAGCACTGTGGTAGCTCAGTGGTTGCATCAGGAAGGGCATCTGGCGTAAAAACAATTGCCAAGTCTTCGTGTGAGTTAGTTCACTGTGGCGACCCCTGAAGAAGGGAGCAGCCAAAAGAAGAAGAAGAAGACATCTGACAAAAACAACAACCTAAAAACAATATGGTCACATTTAGGTCTTAATTTCAAACACTCACTATTTATTTTCATGTACCAAAGGGCCTTAAAAGCTGAAATTTTTGTTGTTTTATGACTACAGTAGACATCTTACACCCTTATTTAACAAGCAGGTAAAATGTCCTGGGAATTTAAAAAATATATCTGTGATATGTTTTGGTCCCAAACAAGTTTAAAGCACTACTGCAGTTTGCTCGTTCCTGTATTCACAGATCTTTCTTTGCAATGTGTTTTAGAAAGTAGTGACAAACAACTCAACTCTGCCTCTTCTGTAGCATATTTGTTTGTTTGTTTGTTTTATTAAATGTAAACCTTTGTTGTATTTAAGAAACTGGGAGCTGACTCTTAAGGGAGGGGTACTGTCATGGTCTGTATCTTAGATTTTTTTTCTGTTTTAGTTATTCTTTTGTGTTCATTGATATCGTATGAGTGCCAAAATCATTTCTGATGCATTTTTCTTGTGAATTGTGTCATACTCTTTATCAGACAAACAGTAATTGTGGTTTAAATAAACATAAAAAGCATGAACAAAGAGTTCTGAACACTCAACTGGTAAAGCATCCATCCACTATCTTTAGCTGCTGCTTCTTCACTGGAGTTGCTGGTGCCCATGTTCAGCAGTCACTGTTCATCACAAGGCCACATGACAAACAAGACAAACAACCATTCTCTCTCTCACTCACACCTAGTAACAATTCAGTTACCAACTAGCCCAGCATGCATGTTTTTTGTCTGTGAGAGGAAACCAGAGTATCCAGAGAAAAACCTGTAATATTGAATTAAAAAGTTAGGTTTTGTGCAGTTTTAATCAATTTTAAACTCTCAATAATACTTCATAAGAAACACCTTGTAACGGTGTGCTTTACCTCTGCTTGTTAAGTTTACAGAATAAATGAATGTGTGTGAAAAAAAATAAAAAAAACACTGAACCATTACTTCTGACCAGTAGCCTTTTATGTATTCAGTAATTAAGAACCCCAGCTGTGCAGCTTGTTGGAACGCCACAGGTTTATCTGCACAGAAAGTCAGACCTCTGACACCTGGCTGTGATATAATTAGAGAGCCAGATTTGGAAAAGTTTTTATCACCTGTCAGCTGTTTTTTCTGAGGCTGCTTTTTGCACTGGCTCGCTAATTAGGTGATGTCAGGGCAACAGAGGCACTAATATGAATAATACATAACAGTCCTCCCATGAGATTAGTTTTTACTTAGAGTCAGTGAGAAGACATGCTTTTTGTGTCATGCAAATCAGATGCAAAATATATACTGTGCATGGGAAAAGTTTTGATAAAAAAGACTTTAGCCCATTAAAGTTAAATGCAGCTTTTGTGTAAATCTCCCTTTCTGACAATAAGCGACATTTATGCAGTTTTAAGTTTCTACATGATTCTTAAAGCATTTTTTAATCAAGCTGATGAAGGCAGTGCTAAAGTTAAACACCATACTGAAGTTGTAATGACTGAAATGAATTTTAACTGATTTATATGAATGGAGAGAAATATATTAATGTTTTAGAGGAAAGCGGTATCAGTTTTGCCAGACAGTTTTCTGTCTTTAGGATGGCTTGGACAAAGGTGTAAACGATCAGTTACATTATTTATTTATTTTTTTTACTCAGCTTGCTTTTCCTTTGTTACATTGTTGTCATGTTACATGTTAGGCAAACTGTCTGGAATAGATATAACTTTTAGCTGTAAATAAACATTTATGTAATTAAAGCTTTTTAATGTCTCCCTGTAGAAGTCTCTGTCAGCTTTAAACCACAGACATCCATCAGCTACTTCTTTACGGAGCAAAAGGTGAATGAGCCAAGCATCCGCTCCTTCTCCTCCACTGTTCCTGACTTGATCCTGAGAGCAGAAAACATCTCCTTAAGCTTCAGGACCAACCAGAGTCCCGCTTTGCTCCTATGTTTGGCCTCTTACCATGGACAGTACCTGGCTCTGTTGCTCAATAAGCAAGGTGAATATTTTGGTTCTGCTTGAATTTTTATCCAGGAAATCATGTTCTGTGTCAAAACAGTCTTTAGTTATGGAATCGTTCATGTGCTGTTCCCTCCTAAAGAGGGTTAAAAAGTGGCACTTTAATAATGAGGAAAGTTCATCATCAAGAGGTGTTTAAGCCACAAGGTGGCTGTAATGTCACAAAAGACAAAGATTCAACAATTAAAAAAAAAGCATGAATCAATGCAGGAGTTGACACTGAAGTGCCATGAAACCAGCAGGAGATTATTTTAAAGTTAGCTGTAACAAAACATGTTTCTGTACAATCCAAGAGAATGATCATTCAAATACATTAATTATCAGGTGTGCTTTTTAAATTTATTTAGAGCAGGGCTATTCAACTGGCGGCCCATGGGTCATTTCTGGCCCGCAGGTGACTTCAATCTGACCCAC